ACGAACACTCAGTACATATGCTTGGCGTTTTTCCATGCCAAGGAAAAGGTAGTCCACCCCAGGTAAATGGTTTCTAGTTTTCAATCGTCTAATGAGCTGTTAGAAATTCTTTTCCGTAGTTGATGTCGCTATCGAATGCTGGCCACTTGCGAAGGGAAACGAACTGCGCTGAAGTCAAACTTGCGGAAAATCTGCGCCGAGGCAATGTAATGATGTATCCTTGTAATGAAAGGAGCTCAATATGGCTGTACGAGGTGAGTACGAATAGGTTGGCTGGGTTCATATATTCACTAATTATCTACTGAAACTCGCCCATGTATTAATCACAATGAAAATAGCGGAAGAAAATGTGAAAGAGGTAAACAAAACTTCCAAAACTTAATGTTTTGAGGAACTAAATAGTATAATGTTTGTAGACTTTGCGCTATTGATACGTTTCAGAACTCCATGTTGAAAGACAAGACTTCTGGATTGTGTCTGTCTACAGCAGGCCTAAAAGCCGGCGAGGACATCATAGTAGAAGCTTGTGACAGCAGTAATCCTCACCAGCTTTGGAGTTTTGTGGATCCTAATTTGTAGTCTACTTTGTGAAAAATGTATGGTTGTTTGATTTACGTTACCGGTATATACTGGATGTGATAGAATGTAATTCACCTCGCCTTCAGTGTTGTGTCAAAGCTTCCGTGCAATTGGTTCACTTTTCTTTTTCTTTTTTCTTGTTGTTTTTACTCCAGCTAGTATATGGGTTTAAACTATGTCTTCATCTCACTGTGATGTCAAAGGAATTGTTCTGTTTAAGCATTCCACATGTGTTAAAACAGGTGTAGTTGTATTGAACAGATAGTTGTTTATCGCATTTTAGTGTTAGAAAGTGTTGTTATGAATTATAAATAAAAGTCACATCTATCTATTTGTATATTGCTACCTATTGTTGCACATCAGATATCTTTTATAATCAATCGGTAAGCTAATCAATTACAAGACGACAAAAAGGTGGTTCGCTGTCAGATCATTTTCATAACAAAGTAGGATTGTAAAATCTTCCAGAACATTCCGTAGTTCTTGAATCCTTCCGTAACATTTTTTAATTCAATGTTGTAAGGACATCCACTGATGTATTGAATTGCGCTATATTAGGTATTGTTTTTGTAAACCGCTGCGGGCC